GCCTTTTCAGGCATTTCTTCCTCAAACTGTTCTCCGCCAGCCCACAGACTGCTTTATCTAAAATGCAGATCTGATCGTATCATTCCCCTACATAAAATCTTGCAATGGTTCCATGGATAAAATCCCAACTCCCTGTGCTCCGGCTCCTTCCCGCCCACCCTGCCTCCTCTCTCCAGCCACACCCAGCAGACTGTGCCACGTCTCCCCCTGCCAGCCTTTGCCCACATTCTCCTTCTGCCCGGCACACCCCACCCCACTCCTTTACCTGGCTGTCTTTCCCTGTCACAATGCAGGTCAAGTCTGCCTCCTCTGGGTGCCTCCTTGCCATTCCACCCCCTGCCAACCTCCCCACCCCTTCTACCTCCAATGTGGATTAGAGGCACATTTATCCTACTATAGGGTATCATCTATCTGCCGTCTTCACTGCACTGCAAACTCTTTTTTTAGAGCACAGACTGTGAATTGCTGATCCTCATGTCCTTGTCATGTCACGCAGTACCTAGCACATGGTTGGCACTCCTGCTGGTCTCCCGAATGCCTGCCACTTTCGCTTAGTGCCTAGGGCAGTGGTGGAATGACACATAGTTTGCTCTGGCCATGGTGTTAGCACTGGGCATCGCCCCTGGAGCTTTAGAAATGGACGATCATAATGGAACACTCATCGCCTTTCTCTTCTCAGGTACCCAAGGAACACTAAACATCTCTGAGCTGCTATATTTAGAGGGCACTCTTTGAAATTCTAGCATTATACAGCCCACCATCAGAGCGTATCTAGGGGCCTGCACTGGATTGGGAAATAAGACATTTCCTTAGCTGAATTAATCAGTACTCTTCTTCAAAGGGCAGAGCCTGGTCCTAGTGTTTCTACCTCAGGGCTCGGCCTTCAAGGTGAGCAAACGAGATTCCAAGTGTATTGTGGCTACCATGTTGTCTAAATGTGTTTTGAGTGACCTTATTATAAATAGTGTCGCTGTTTCTGGCTACCTGCGGGAGTATGACATCCCCGTGGTGGAAGTGAGTCTTTCTGCACTGCGATGCATTGGATACATAAACCATTATGGATTAATAATAATAATAATAATAATAATAATAAGTCTCTATCCTCTGAAACAAACTGGATAAATCAGGGCAAATGCAGGAGAGGAATACCTGGGATGTAGTGCTAAGACAGAGGAGGTTGGTCCTCAGGTTGGAGATATGAAAGCCAAAAGGTAACTTCATATCCATGTTCAAAATTATTTCATAAGTTATTTAGAACACAGTTTGTATTTCATCAGGGAACTGAACAAGAGGTGTAAATTATAATTCTATTCTGTAATAATAACTTATTGAAAATAAGACTAATGAAGTAGAACCCACGGCTCTGCAGTTGGCCTTGCCCTGGCAAACCCTGGCTCTCTGGATTACGAGGTCATCGATGGGCATTTCTGCTCAGTGGCTGCAAAGATCCCCCCATCACAAACCAAGTGTCCCCGAACCAGAAATCAGCCTCTTGAAGCCTGCCTTGTTAACACAGATATAAAGAGGCACAAGCACAGCATGTACTTATCACAAACTCCTTGAACACATGGGTGGAATGTCACTTACATAATCTGGCAGGTTGCAGTTGTGCCATCTGATACAAAACCCGGCTTTCTTAAACCAGTAGAAACCTCTAAGGTCTATTGTTAAACAGGAATTTTTTTCCATTTTATATTGGAGACAATGCTCACAGCATGAGCAATGCCCGTCAGTTATCGGTAATTTGGGAGATGGTGCCATCGTTGACATTTGTTCTCGGCTTAATGGTGTGCGAGTGTGTATGGGAAACAATGACGCAGCTGTCCCCGTTCCTGGCAATTAGGATGTAGAAATGGCGCTTGCTGACTCTGGCATCATGATCAATTATCCATGTGTTTACTCTTTTGTTCGCAAGGCTTTCTGAGTGTTTGCTGCAATTCTGCAATCAGAGTATACAATCGGCTTAAAATGGAACCCGGATCTATATTAACAGCAACGACAGGGACCGCAGACCTCCATGTTTCAAGATCTTCTGCGTCTGACTCCCGCACAGACGCTTGTGTTTAGTGTGCACATTAAAGATGCTTCCTTGACTTGTGATGAAAACAGATGTAAAACACCATCAGGATTAGAAGAGCAGTGTCCGCAGAGGCGCACTGGCCATTGCTGATCATCTGCAGAGGAGCCAGTAATGCAAACCCACCCCGCACAGAATACTGCAACGAAGTTCTAACTGTAGCTAATGTCAGCCTCAGCCTTCTTCACCGCTAACTCATGCAGGTGACCTGGCCATTGAGAGTCAGAACCAGGGCTTAAAGCTGTTACTTCCCCCTCAATTATTTTGGCTCTTGGGTTGGTGAGCTTTTTTCTATTAGATTAGCCAGTTAATGTTAGTGTCAGCGAGGGTGGGGACCAGTTCCTTATTGGGTCATGGCAAGAATGAATAAAATACCCATGAAGGGACTGCCGGCTGGCTCAGATGGATAGAGCGCAGGGTGCAGTGCTCATAACACCAAGGTTGCCGGCTCCATCCCCACGCCCTCCACAAATAGATTGAAACAACTACTTGACTTGCAGCTGATGGGTCCTGGAAAAACACATGGTTCCCCAATTAAAATAATAATAATAATAATAATAATAATAATAATAATAATAATTTACCCCTTTGGGAAACTGTTTGGCAGTAGTCACTAAAAATGAACATACGTACACTTTATGGCCCAGCAACTTCACTTTTAAATACTGATACTCAGCAGATATACATGCATATATTCACCAAAAGACATGTACTGGAAGGTTCATGGCAGCAACTAACTACACAGGTGTCGATCAATAGTAGAATGGATAAATAAGTTATGTGCGTTGGCATACGATATAGCAATAAGATCAAACAAACTCAACTATATTTTTAAACTAAACTCTGACACACAAGCATTCGTTTTCTATCGCTATGAAACAAATGACCACAAACTTAGGGCTTAAAACAACACACACTTGCCAGCTTGCGGTTGTGTAGGTCTTAAATCTGTGCACGATATAGCTGCGTTCTCTGCTGAGGGCTCACGGGCTGAAGTTAAGATGTAAGTGGCTGGAGCTCAGGATCTTCTTCCAAGTTCATTCAGGTTGTTGGCAGAATTCAGAGTTTCTCCTGTGATTGGAGGACTGGCTGTCAGCCAGGGGCCACACTCAGCGCCTAGAGGCCGTCGGCATCTGTTGCCATGTGAACCCGTGTCTTCCAAGCCAACAGTGAAGAACTTCCATCGTGTCAATCCCTCTCCTACTTCAAATTTCTTTTGCTAGAAAGAGCCCAGTCCCTTTTAAGGGCTCATGTGATCAGGCCTATTGAGAACAATCTCCCTATCTCAAAACCAACGGATTTGGGCTTTAATTATATCTGCAAAATCCCTTGACAGCAGCACCTAGATTGATGTTCGATTGAATAATTGGGAGAAGGTGTGTGTGCTGTAGCAGAGAGGATGATGGAATTCCGGGGGCCATCTTAGACCTCTGTCTACCATGCACAACAATGTGGATGACTCTCACAATCGATGGTGAGCAAAAGAATTCAGACATGTAGGAACATATAATGTATGATTCCGCTTGTATAAAATACAAGACCAAGCAGCACTGTCTTTGGTGTTAGCAGTCAAACAGTGGAACCACTCTTGAGTACAGAGGAACTGGAAAAGGACAGGAGGGGGTCCTGGGGGCAGACAATGCTTTTGTTTCTTGATCTGTGTGCTGGTTACATGGGTGTGTGCAGCTCGTGAAAATTCAGCAAGCTGTACATTTTTAGAATAATCTGCAGTTATTACTTTAAAATAGATTTTTTTCCAAGGAAGTATGCAACAAAGACAACAATAAGAGTGGGTACCTGATGGGGGTGGAGGATAAGCAGGAAAATAAAAGAAACAAGGGCACCTTGCCTGCAGTGATGATAATGGTACCTCATGAACTTGGCAGGTGAGGGCCAACTAGCTGAAAAGTTGGAACTCTGTCAACTTGGACCTGTGTGCAGGACCTGCCACGTAATTTGTGTGGCCCAAGTGCAAAGTGAAGTGCAGGGCCTCCTTGTTCAAAAATTATGAACTGTAAGACAGCCAGCGTTGAACATTAAGCCAAGGGTAGGGGAAGGGAGTAGGCACTGGTCATGCTCCCATAGAGCCACCTCTGCCTGAATGTATGGGAGCCACAAAACTCAAAAGGCTTCTTGCTAGGTGAGTTACTTTGGGCAACTAAAGCTTTGATCCTTTCCACTGTAAAATGGGCTAGCCAGAGGCTAGGAGGTGCTAATTCATTAATATATATGCAAGAACAACTACTTTTTGATATGTAAGGCGCCAAACAAATATCAGGTTTATTATAATAATGGGCTGTCTCGATGTTTGTTATTTCTTTAATTGGTTAAAAATACTATCTGCGACCGCACAGGTAATACTTATTTGATACGTAAACGCTTGATAGATAGCGCAGGGTCCATTTCCACCTTGTGAATTTACATGAATGCCAAGTTATGGTGAAACTCTAATCGTGAGATTTAACCGTGCATTTTTTTTTTGGTCTGTCCAGTTCCAAGAGGAAACTATTAAATGCCAAGGACAGCGTTTTGGAGTCTGGGCACTTTCCCATCATAGTTCTTTTTCTTACCACTATTCGAGTTTCCTTCAAGTTCCGAGTCGAATCCTTGCCCTGACTCTATAGCCTCCCTCAGTGGCTGGAGGGCCCTGGGAAGGGGCGCCCTAGAATCATCCAGGGAGGGCTCAGTGGCGAACACTGCGGGCACGTGACTCCCCAGCGCCAGAGACTGCGGTGTCAGGATGACAGGGCTGTCGCTCCGTGTGCGGGCTCCGGGTTGGGGGGGGGCGGGAGAAGGAAAGGGGAGCGTCTTGAGGGGTTAGGATTTCTGAAGAGACACGACTTTGACATTGCATTTATGTGTTTATTTTCCTTGGTGTGCAAACCTTGAAGCACAAACCTTTCTAGACTTAGTGACTTACTAAAGCTTTTGGGGACTGTGGTACCCGAAGGCTGCCAGCTGCCTGACCTAAGATTTACGAGTGGTTCCAAGGATGAGACAAGGTCCCAGTGTCTGGGTGACAACAAGGTCTTTGATGAACAGCCGGGAGCTGCAGTTGGGGAGGGAGAGGAGGCCTGTGGCAGGGACCGAGAGCCCCTGAATTTCCTCCCCGCAGGAGTTGGGCGCCTGGCGCCATCAGCATGCGGAGCCGCGCTCGCGCCGTCCTTGAAGGGCTGCCCGGCTGACCTTGCTCCGCATTCTCCGGAGAAATCTCCCGGAGAGCGTGAGGACGCGGCCACCGCGGTGACTCAGTGCCCTGCGCGCCGCATGCAAATACCCCCCCTCCAGCAAGCACAGCTCCGCAGCAGCGGCTTCCCTTTCCTGCCTCCTTTTTTAATTCCACAATTCAAACCCGGCGTTTTCCGCTCCACCCTCCCCCTCTCCACCGCCCGCCAGTCATTAGCCAGACTGTCCGGGTGTTTTGTCCCCCACCTCCCATCTGCAAAACTGAAGGCCAACCTTCGCGCTCCGTCGCTGCGGGCGCGGGGATCGGACTTAGCCCGCCGGTGCAGGACACCACGAACCGGAGCGCGACCGGAGGGGGCGGCGCGCTGCGCTCTCGGGCGCAAGGGTGGACGGCGCCTGGGCCCCGCTCCCCATTGGCCGCCACCTCCGCGGGAGGGGCTGCCCCGGGTTTGGGGCACTTGGCGTCGCCCCTCCGCAGGGAAATCGGCGGATGCCGGGCACTAGCGTCCGAAGGTAAAGGCATCGGGAGGCAAGGCCCGGGACCGCGGCTGAGCTCCCTGTGGCCAGCCCTGCCCTGCCCGCCGCCCCGGCGCCGGCGACGCTCGGATGCCCTCTGCTCCGGCCGCTCCAGCCAGAAACTTTGCCCCGAGAAGTCCCCACCAGCCCGACCATTCCAAGAGGTGCCTGGTCGATCGTTCGCCCCCCGGGGCCCCGGAGCCCCGCGCGTGATTGCTGGGACTCCCGGCACCAGGCGTCCGCCGTGCCCCGCCGCGTGCGAGCGGCCGCCAGGATGCGCTACGCGGATCCCTCGGCGAACCGGGATTTGTTGGGGAACCGAACTTTGCTCTTCATCTTCATCTGCGCCTTCGCTTTGGTGACCTTGCTGCAACAGATCTTATATGGCAGAAACTACATCAAGAGGTGAGAAAGTCCGAGTGCGGGTGGGGGTGCGCGGAACGCGTGGGCGAGCCCCAGGTGGCGTCGCAGCATTCCCCCTCCCCGAGCATCCCGAGGGTGAGCGACCGTGGGGGTCTGCACTTAGCCTGGAGCACAGCCGCGTTAGGTTTGGGTCATGGTGGCGCTCCAAAGCGCCTCTCTCCTCTAAGCCAGAAGGGAGAGCCTGCCCAGCGCAGGCCAGAGGGGCCGACAACTTTGTTCTGTTGTGAAAAATGGAGGGCAGGCTAGAATTCCCCGTGGCCAAGCTGATGATAAATCCATTTGAATGCCAGGAGCAGCGACAGGGGTCAGATCGGTGTCCCCCAAATCTAGAGTGCCCTGGCCATTTGGTTCCATGGCACTCTAGATTTGTGGTTGGATTACCTCGCGAGTCCTGAACTTTTGCGGGGGCCCTTGGGAGAAAAAGCATATATATGTGTTTTACCCCGGAGCGTGGGTTAGGTGGGTATGATTGTAGGCTGGGATGATGCGACAGGGATAACGAACTTATGAACCAGCAAACCCTGGAACTGTGAAACTCACAACCGATCCCTTCTGAAACAGGCAGCTCTTTCTCACTCTTACGCAGAAGGTCAGAGCTGCAGCAGAAGTTAACCCTCCCCTTGTTGGGTTCTGCTCCCACCCCACCCCATCTACCGGCCAACTCCATTAAGAGAAAGGGCTGAAGGAGGTGTCCCTCGGAAACTCGGGCCCAGCCTCAGTCCCTGTGTGTGCGGAAGATACACCGAATGCCAACCGTTTTCTTCTGCCCTCTCTGCTGGCTGAGGGGAAACGCTTCGGGTTACTCTGCGTGGTTTCAGGGCCTGGGGAGAGCGCTGCCATAGGATAGATACGCCCATATCTGAGGCGCTTCCGGAAAGAGCCCACCTCTCCTTTTTGCTGTAGGATTTTCCTTTGCTGCCAGTGTCTTCCCACTTTCACTGCGCCCCCCTCCCAAGGCTGATAGAAAACAAAATGCCTGTCTAGCTGTAGAAACACCCAGTCTCTTTTCTAAACTTCCAAATAATAAAACAGTTGTTCTCTTTTTCATTCTTTGGGTTCCACGTCAGTCATTGGTGCTCTCCAGTCTGAGCTGCATGTGAGGGTGGAAGAATGAGAATTGCTGCTGGGACTGGCACTCATAGTCGCAAAGCCAGTCAGGCCATTTCCCCCTCCATGTCCCAGAGCTGGGTAACATGAGGACCCTTGTCCGGCACATTTGCTTCCAGCCAGCCACTGCTCCTGACCATCCCAGAGAGCATTCTTCCCTGGATGAAGGCAGATGATGAGCTCTGCATGGTGCTGGTGGCTTTAAAGGACATTTTCAGAGAGTCTCCTGGCTTGCCAGAGCTCACTGGGCCTGCCTCCTCTTTTGGTTACTGCTGCCCTCCCACCCCACCCCAGATGTCCCTATGTAAGGACAGCTGGGCCCCAAATGGTGTCCTGGGGCTTGAAGTCTGTTTGGGGAAACAAAACGGCCACAAATCAGAGAGTTACAAAGTAAGTGTTAAAGTGTCTGTGGAGGGAGGCACCACTGGGCTGAAGTAGTTAGGGAAGACTTCCTGGAGGAGGTGGACCTGAGTGGGCTCTTGAAGGATGAGATTTGGATAGGTGGAGAGGAGTGCCCGTCTAGAACTGAAGAAGGCAGCAGCAAATGTGCAGAGAAGTGGCACCACTTCCTCTCCCTTGGAACCATGTCCAACCCTGCCCACACTGTACTACTTGGCCTAACCATTGGTTCTTCACGGAGGCTATCCTGACCCTGAACCGGGTTCTTTTTCTAACTTCTTAATTTGGATGCTTATCTCTTTCATTTCTAATCTTTATTATTTTCTAATGTAATCTTTTAAGACTACAAAATTTCCTCTAAATCCTTCTCTATTTATGCCCCTTAAGTTTCAGGGTGATAATGATGATAACGACTTAGAATTGTATTGCATTTACTGTGCTCCAGGTCCTAGTTCAAGTGCTTTGTGTATTACCACACTGAATCCTAACAACAAGTCATAGATGCTATTACTGTTCTCATTTTATAGACAAGGAAACAGAGGCACAGTGAAGTTAAGTAATTAGTTCAGGGTCATACAGCTAGTAAACTACCAGAAGTATTTTCATTATTGTGACTTCTAAGTATTTTCTAATTTCTATCATGATTTATTTTCACTCATAAATTTAGAAATGTTTTCAAATTTCCAAATACTTTCTTCTTTTACTTTTTTGATTTTTTTTTTATTCAGCTGCATGATGATTGGAGAACATAATATTTATGATGGTGATTCCTTGAAATTTATTGCGATTTGCTTTGTGGTCTAGTAGGTGGTTGTTTTTTTCTAAGTATTATGGATGTACTTGAAAAAAATGTGATTCTCTGATTATTAGGTACACTATTCTTATACATCTGTTCAATCAAGTGGTTTTGTGTTTTTCAATCTTCTGTATCCTTCTTGATTTTTTTTTCCGTTCTGCTTGATCGTTCAATTTCTAAAAGATGTGTGATGAAAATCTTCCTCCATGCTAACGATTTATCAATGTCTCCTTATCAACTTTTGCCTTATGCATATTGAAGTGGTGATGTTATTAGATGCGTGCTAGTTTAGATACATCGTCTTCCTAGTGAACTGAATCTTTTAATATAATGTGGTGGCTTTGTTTATTTCTGGTATACTTTGAACCTTAAAGTCCATTTCGTCTAATGTAATGCAGCGAGGCAGCCCCCATTTGGTTAGTATTTGCTTGTTACAATAATATGAGGGGGGCATGAATTATGGGGATTTGCAGATGCCCTTGGGGCAGCCGCTGGCTTAGAGCTCATCTGCTCCTTTTTTCCTTGCCAGATTATTCATTCATTTAAGAAGACATTTTATACATATTTTAATGATTATTTTAGTGGGGTTTTTTTAGTGGGAGATGTTGCAGAGTGGGTTCCCTGGAAAGCAGACTATAAGCTAGAAATCAGAGTGCAGCATGTTTACTAAGATGTGTTCTTGGGACCAACACCTGAAGAAGGGAGAAGTAAGACTGAGCAGAGGGAGAGGCTGAGCTCCGTGCAGCCGTAGAGAAGGCCTGAGCCACCCTCCATAGGGAGCCCTGGAGAGTTGCCTCCGGGGTGAGGAGGTCAGCCCTTTCTACCTCTGTATGGAGTTCTCAGTCGTTAGATGTGGGCTGCTTCTGGAAGAGGACGCAATCTTGGTCAAGTTGACTCTCCTCACGTGGGGCAATTCCCAGGGGATACTGAGAGCTGGGGGCTGCCAGCTCTTGGCACTCCAACAGGTGAGGAAGAAATCCTTCATTCCTGAAGGGACACACGCCACAGAGGATTTTTCAGTCTGCCATTTTGCCAGGACTGGAAGTCCTTGAATGCCTCCATCCTCTGCTCCCTCCTCAAACAAAAGTCTCACTCCCTCTGATCAGTCTGTACCTGAAGCCCCGCTCTTAAGGAAACCATGGCTCCTGTCAGCCACGGGTCTTTTCCACACATCACGTCTGTCCTGATGCTGGGCCTTTACCCACCCTGTGTACCCACTGCCGTGCCTTCCCAGCTGTCTCTCTGCTAGTCCAAATCCGGCTTCTCCTTCCATTCTCAGCCCACAGTGTTCTCCCCCTGCTCTGAATTCACAGCGCCTGTGCTGTCTGTACTCAGCACATTCTGCTCAGCGCTGGCCTGTTGCTTTGTGTGTCACTGCACAGCGGACAGGAGCTGAGGCTGGGCCTATTTGGTCCTGCCTTATGGAGAGAGAACTTTCCTATACGCTGTCTTCCCCACAGTCCTCTTCTCTCTTGTATCTCGAGGGTGCAGATCTGGGCTGCCTGCGAGTGGCTGGTGCAGGCCTGAGACTTGAGGATGGGAAACTGGGTTAAGGAAAAGTACAGCCTGACTTTGTGCTGTATCTGAAGTGTATAATTCAAAGTGCTGTCATCACTGAGCCAACTGTCCCCCCTCCCCCACCACCACCCCCTAGCCCCCACCCAGGGACAAAGCCTTCTGCTTGAGTGACCTGAGAAACAGGCACAGCCCCAGGAGATGGGGACCATGGGACCTGAGCGGAGGATCTATGCAGGGGGTAAGTCTGGAAGGGGAGGGTGCCTAGTGGGGACAGGGTGGATGGAGGTGTAGGGCACCCTCAAGAGGAGGAAGAGATGTAGCTGACTGCCACCTGGGGTGTGTCCCCTGCTGGTCAAACAACTAAAGTTTTGCTGGTCAGGGCAAGTTATGACTGAGTCCCTGCTGCAGGGCGGGGACTAGGGTATGGCAAGCAAGGTACCCTGGGGACAGAATTTCAGAAGGCTCCCTCTCAGGTGTCTACCCTGCACTCACACAAGCCTGAGAGGGGGGCCACCCGTAATGTTGTGCCCTGGGCGCTTTGTTTGCTTCACTCTAGCCCTGGTCCTGGCCTGCTAAGTACCCAGCCTGCACTAGGTGGTGGATATTAGCTTCCGGTCCCTTCCCCAAATGTCCGTCAGGGACACAGTGTTGCCCTCTTGCTCTGCTCCCTTGCCCATCTCTCTCTCTAGTCCATTTCTTTTTGACATTTGTACTTTCGGAAATTTCTACCTCTTAGAGGATCTAGCTTCTCTTCTTTGAGCCATCCAGGCCCAGTCACTTTTCATCTAATAACCTCTCACCTAATAATTGTTAAATTTAGCTCTTAACCCCATACGTAGGGGCCTTCCCTCCACCACACACATACAGGTGATAGATTCTTCAGGCAATAGTATTAATTATTAACATTCATTAAGATTTCATGAGCCAGGCTCTGATCTAAGTAGATAATCCTGAATGAGGATTACTTCATTTAATTCCCGCAATAGTCCTGTTACGATCATTTTCATTTAATATTCAGAGAGGGTGAGTAACTTGTATAAGGTCACACAGCTTGTAAGACCCTTGTGAGAGATGTTTCATTCATCTCTGGATTCCCAGGACCTTGCACAGTGCCTGACATTAATTGTCGAATGAATGGATGCATATGAAGGGAATCCCAAAA